TTCTGTATTGTTGTGGATATACTAAGTCTAACTTTTTGTATTGATCGTATAGTTTTCAATATTGTGATACATATTTTTAGAATTACTGATTGAGTCATCTCATATATCTTACAGTGAGCCTTGTAGTTCTGCTTCTACATCCACATCAATGACATCAAATACCATTCCAAATCCACCTTCACATCCAATACCAACACCATCACAAACAACAGTATCACCAACGTTGCAACCTAATTATTCTTGTTCTACATTTAAAGCCAATATCATGGTTTGAAAAACATGAAAATATGAAAATAGATCAAATCAGAACACAAAGTATTGAACTGATCAAAAGGTGAGTTATAAATTAATAATTTGATTTAAAATTTTTTTGAATTAAAAATTGATATCATTCAGACTTGATAAATTGGAGACAAGAGAACATGAAATGTTAGAAGTTCAAAAGCAACTTGTTGACAAATTAAACACAGCTAATGACATTGAAATTCAAAAGTTGGACATGCTCAAAAAAATGTTTAAGATTGATTGATTAGTATAGTAGAGATAGTAATTCAAAATAATATACCTATGCTCTGTTGTATTTTTAATCGTAATGAAAGTAACTATGTTTAACACAAAATTATAATATAGTAGATTTGTTTGTTATTTATGTATAATTTTAGTTTAAAGAAAATCTTATGTGATTTTTACTTTTTATTTTATACCCAAGTTTATGAAAGCTTAAGTCTACTAAAGGAAACAATGTGATATTTTTATAATGAAGTCAATAATTTATGTTTGTTATTTATTATTTAAATTGGTTAAACTATTTTGTTTTATATTGAAGTTTAACTATTCAAAAGGAAATTGAAACGTTATACATATATATTTATATATAATATATGTGTAATAAAGTCAAAATATTATGTTTATTTGGAATGTTGTTTATTTACAGATTCTGGTATAAATATTTAATAGTAAAAATAGAAAAATAATAAATAGGTAGTAATAAATATTTAAATGTGAACTTGTAGTATTCATGCATTGCAAATTGCATTACATTTTAATACTCCGCTTCTAGTCCCATCTTCATGTAGATCACCTCCTATCTCATTTTCAGACACATAAGGCTCGGAATTAAAGTCATCTCCAGTTGTCATACAAATATTGTGTAGAAAACAAGCAGTGGTGATAATCTTACCACAGTACGATTTATGATATACATCCATATGTCTATATTAGTTAATGAAATGCTTTAAATTAATGATATGCTAGAAAAAAAAATTTCTCAATGACTAATGTACTTTAATTTCGAAATCTCCCGAATAGTTTTCCAAAAGCTTGTTCTATGACCACACGTGAACTGCTTAAAATCTTATTTAAATTCTTTTGATTTTGTGTTAGGTGACCATTATCCTTATATGGCACCATAACTTTTTCGGTTAATGGATATGCTCCATTGCCTAAAATATGGCGATTGGGGAGAAGTATAGAGCCATTATTTTCTAAAATATTCCACCATATTGTGCTTTTTCGAAATACTCTAGCATCACGATCGTTTCCCCAGCCCATCCATTTAGATTTTTTTAAATTTTTTTCATCAATATTTAGTATGGAATTTGTATGCATTTGTACGACAAAAATCAGAATTTGAATGGATTTATTTTTAAAGGAAAAAGCAAAAAAGTGAAGGGAGGNAGTATGTAACCCTATCTAATACGGGTTAATTTTACTACAAGCCAGCCTCGCATTTGACCGCCACGCAGACTGGTGGAGAAATTAGTCTGCGATGTTTTACGGGACGGTTTTTGTGGTAGAGTTTGGCCTCCTTATCTCTAGTCTTCATGGTTACAACGATGGGCCTATGTTTTATCATCATTCGATTTCGACATAAAATATGTGAAATTCGAAGATAATACAGCCGATTTTTTATCACGAATAAAAGGTTCAAAATTTAAAATTTAAAATCATAATGAAGAATGTATTAGTCTTAATTTTCCTTTCACATTAGACTGGTCTGAAATAAAAATTGAAACAATTAGAGACACAATTCTCGCCAAATTATTAAACGCAGTCAAAACAGGAGAATGGAATAGTGATTTTTCTAAAAATTTAGAACTTAATTCGTATAATTTATGAAAAACTCAAATTACATTGGAACAGGGATATTATGGGGTATTATGGGATTACCGTGTTATTATACCAGCTAAATTTCGAAATAATATACTCAAAGAACTTCATTCATGTCATATGGGTTTATAATCTTTCAGTATGAAAAGTTTAGCGAGATCATACTTTTGGTGGCCAGGAATGGACAATGAAATCAAAAATATCACACAAAGTTGCAACGATTGTATTAATGTCAGGCAAAATCCGCCAAAATCTGTAACATCACCTTAGACATGACCAGAAAAACCGTGCACTAGAGCGCATTGCGATTTTCTTGGACCATTTCAAAATAAATATTATTCTGTCATTGTTGACGCAACCACAAAATTGTTAGAAGTATTTCAAATAAATTCTATTACAGCAGAAATTGTTATTCAAAATTTTTCAGAAACGATAGCACGATTTGGAATTCCAAAAACAATTACATCAGATGGTGCAAAATGTTTCACTGGTTTTGAATTTCAAGCATATTGCAAAAATCTAGGTATAAGGCATATGACAGGCGCTCCATTTAACCCAGAATCAAACAGCTGTGCGGAATCAGCAGTCAAAACAATAAAAAATTTTTTTTAAAAATGCTCGTCTGCACAATTCCAATTAAATAAATTTCTTTTGATGTATCGTAATACACCTCATTCAACAACACGAGAAACGCCAGCTAAACTAATGTTAGGTCGATCAACACGTTTACAATTTGAAGCGTTAATGCAGAATACAAATGAAGTGGTTATTGAACGACAAATATCACGAATAAACAATGGTGGTAATAGTAATAATAGTATAGTATCATTTAATACAGGTGATAATATTTTAGCTAGAGATTATAGGAATAATAACAATAAATGGCAAAAGGGTAAAATTATCAAATCCGTTAGTTGTAATACACACGATGTAGAGCTCGATGACGGAACTATTAGTAAGAGACACAATGATCAATTACTCATTGATAAATCACTGACACCAGCGAATAATTCAGTTTCACTTACACCCACAAGACAAATAAATGAAAATACTGAAAATATCAAAACAGTAGGTGCAAAACAAAATCCTGATACTATAATAATAAATAAAACAATAAAACACCTAGACCAATTAGATCTATAAAACCTAATACTACTACTAAACCACCTCAGCGATATTCTCCAAGTGATTATAATTAATGTAATTAAACTTACTAGTACACTAACATAGCGATTAAGTAATACACAAAATACTATTTATATGTTTTTTTAAGGAAAAAGATGTTGCATATTCAGCATTTATATTATATATATTACACCTATACTGTTTATACTAACAATAATCATACGCATAAGCATCATATTACGATCGATGGAGACTGTCCATCGGTTATTAGCGAGTAGAAATATAATGTAGATACGTCATTACGATTTATACTGTTAACAATAAATGTCTATATAATACGTTTATGTTATTATTTATATTAATAAAACATAACATATCTCATTAAATATTTTTGATGCACAACATGAAAGTTCAATAGCTGTAGATTTACTATTATATGTAGATCTTGAAATATTTGTGGCAATTTACCTTTATTCCCAATGTTCTGTATTGTTGTGGATATACTAAGTCTAACTTTTTGTATTGATCGTATAGTTTTCAATATTGTGATACATATTTTTAGAATTACTGATTGAGTCATCTCATATATCTTACAGTGAGCCTTGTAGTTCTGCTTCTACATCCACATCAATGACATCAAATACCATTCCAAATCCACCTTCACATCCAATACCAACACCATCACAAACAACAGTATCACCAACGTTGCAACCTAATTATTCTTGTTCTACATTTAAAGCCAATATCATGGTTTGAAAAACATGAAAATATGAAAATAGATCAAATCAGAACACAAAGTATTGAACTGATCAAAAGGTGAGTTATAAATTAATAATTTGATTTAAAATTTTTTTGAATTAAAAATTGATATCATTCAGACTTGATAAATTGGAGACAAGAGAACATGAAATGTTAGAAGTTCAAAAGCAACTTGTTGACAAATTAAACACAGCTAATGACATTGAAATTCAAAAGTTGGACATGCTCAAAAAAATGTTTAAGATTGATTGATTAGTATAGTAGAGATAGTAATTCAAAATAATATACCTATGCTCTGTTGTATTTTTAATCGTAATGAAAGTAACTATGTTTAACACAAAATTATA